ACAGACGTTCATGGAAGTTTCATTTATAATAGCCCCAAACCAATATATCCAACAATCCAAATATCCAGCAATCGGTGAATGGATAAACAAATTATAAATAGCCATGTGCATTAGTCAGCATTCTCCAGAGAAACAGAATCAGTAGGATATGTGTATGTTTATCTATCTATTCATTCATTCTCTTGTTCATTCATATAAAGACTTATTGTATGGAATGGCTCACCTGAATTGAGACTGAGAAGTCTCGAAATCTGCAGTTAGCAAACTGGAGACCTATAAGAGCCAATGTTATAAGTCCCGATCTAACAGCACAAGAAGACAAGTGCCCTATAGCTCAATCAGACACGGAGGCAAAATTCCCTCTTACCCAACTCTTTGTTCTAGTTCAGTCTTCCATTGAGTGGATAAAGGCCCATCCACATTAGGGAGGACGATCTGCTTCACTCTATAGGATTCAAATGTTGGATGAGATCATCCAAAAACACCTTCACAGACACACCGAGGATAATATTTGACCAAATGTCTGGCATCCATGACCCAGTCAAGTCAACTGTTTGCTTACTTTGTGTGTTTCAAACAATCTCTGACTATAGCTCAGTGACACTCATAAAGTAAGTCGATAACTGTAAATAAGTCGGCCACGGTCTTTAGGACCTATCCTATCCTATCCTATCTCTGGGATTCAATTGTTACTGCTGAGCAGCTGGGCTTATATAAACTAACCTGATTAAAATTCAGGCAAATGAATTATGAACAATATAAAACTAACCTGAAATTCAACTTTACAAACACTGTGTACTTTGCTGAACCCCTTGAAAACACAGGAAGTATCTTAAATTATCTTTTACCCTCTAAGCCTTATATATGGTCAGAAAGCATCATAATGTCTCAAAGTCTCAGTTCCTTCATCTGTATCATGGTCAGAGTTATAATACCTCCCTCAATTGACCCTTGTATCATATTCACAAAATCTTTTCTTTCCCTCTTCCTTACACACTCTGATTTTGTAGACAGTAACAATGGTTAGCCTCCCTTGAGGATAAGGTTGGCTATGAAACTCAGTTCTGGCCAATTAAGTATAAGTAGGAATTGTTGGAACAGGTTTAACAAAAGTACCTTGGGTGTTGGGGTTGTGTGGTGATTTAGCTACCATATGCCTTTTGAACTTGGTCCTTCCCTTTTCTTTTTCCTGGGATATAGACAGGATGCTTACAGCTCCAGCAGCCATCTTGTGACCATGAGGCAATTGGAACACAGACGCCAGCACCGGGGTTAATGGAGAAGAAAAAAAGAAGGAGGAGCCTGCATATTCTGAAGCTGCTACCAGTCCTGGACTCCCTATTTCTGACTTCTCCTTATACAAAAAATAAGTATACAGGTGAAACTCCTAATTTGTTTAGTCCACTCTGTAAACCTGTTTCCTCATCAAAAAATGGAAAGGATAATAGTAACCTAGCCTGTAAATTTGGCGGGAGGATTAAATGGGTTCCTATATGTGACTTTTAAAAAACATTTCATTGAAAAGCATGAGTTAAATGGCTGCTAAAACTGTAACATTCTACTACGTGAGTTTTTTCTTTTGCTTTTCCATGAGAAAAATGCCTGGCATTGATGTGCTCCATAAGTGTCAGCACTCATCATCCAGATTATTCCAGGCTTCTGTTACTGGCAATTGAACCCAATTTATAATTGATACAGCAGCTGTTCAAAACAGTATTTATTAAAACTATTTAATGGCCAGGGAAGATAGTCTTTATAAAATCTCTGGTGCGGGGGGAGGGAACACATTATAAAACTATACAGTATGACTCCAATTTTAACAATGACATAAATGCATAGAATTTGCATATTTAATTAGTTCTAGTGGTAGGATCACAGGTGATATTTGTTTTCTGTTTTACATTTTTTTAAGTTTGTTTATTTATTTATTTATTTAGAGAGAGAGAGAGAGAGAGAGAGAGGATCCTAAGCAGGCTCCACACTGCCAGCACAGAGCCCGATGTGGGGCTCAAACTCAGGAACCACAAGATCATGACCTGAGCCGAAACGAAGACTCAGACACTTAACCAACTGGAGCCACCCAGGTGCCTCTGTTTTCTTTATAGGAAAGAAATTATTTCGGAAATTTTTAAAATACACACCGGACACTTATAACTAAGGAAAATGTTATTTTAAGATGTTAAAATGATGCCAGGATATAATGAGTGATTTATTTTTACCTTAAGCAAATTCAAGGTAGCAATCTCCGTGCTAATAGATTATCTAAGGAATATGAAGAACACTTGTGGGTACTCACAGTGTCTTTGCCCACAGAGCAGAACTAGTGAGAGCCAGAGATTACAAAAAGAATCTGAACACAAGTAAGTTGATAATATGTATATATGTTTGTGCTCCAAAGTTTCCAACCCACAAGCAAGGAATGTTTAAATCTTACTCATTCTGGGGAACTTGGCCTGTTGCCTACTCATTAGTGAGGCGGCTTATAGGAAACATTAGGCATCTCTTATTAAATAAATTTAAAAAGCATGCTTCTAATTGATCGCTCATGGAGACAGAGGCCCAGTGCTAAGCGCTGTCTGTGACAATTGTCTCAATTAAATGGTTATACCTGTAAAGTTAATCTTGATACATTGACTCCAGGTTTGGATCCTGCTCATGGAGACGCCCATCATTCTAAGGCTTTGGCACCTGGAATTTGTGCGTGTGCGTCTCCCTCTAGCAAATAGCACAGCTCACTCGGGCGTGACGTCTGTGCTACGGCCCATAAATCAAGAAACAGCGGTTTCGGGATCAAGGAAATTCATAGTTGTGTTATTGTACATTTTGGTCTTACTGGTGTGGTTCTGAGAATACTATCCAAAGAAAGGGGTTTTCTGACAACATAAATCCCAATAAAACCTCATTTCTTCAAGAAGCAGCACAGGACTAACAGACCATTTTCAGAGACTGACGTTTGGCCTTTGGAAAAATTACCAGCCCCGGTACTGTGTGCCCCGAGTAAAAGGTGATGCTCTTACCCACACTGGGCAGCACTGTTATGAGTGACTATTGTACTTCCACAATTCCTTGGTGTATCTTTCTGCTCCCCCAAGTGCAGTGCCTCTGCAGTTTGGTAAACCTTCCCCTTGAGCTCCAGGTGGCTGAAAGGGCCTCGCTTTCTGTACCTTTCCCAATATCATCTTTAAGGCTCTGAGATTCTAAACCATGAAAGATCAAAGGGGCACTTGGTATGTGAAGCAGAAAGCAATTCCAGTTAATATTTGTACCTCACCTGCTCCTGTTATTTCTCAAATATTATGCGTAAGGACAGTAATTGCTAACATTCAGAACAGTCTTCGTGGGCACGTGCCACCCGTGTACTTACACAGGGCACCACACTCGAAACAACCTTACCCTTGGCTTAGTGCTCCACTATTGTCTTGCCATCTGAATCATTTTTTAACATTATTTTTCCTCTTCTTTTTCTTTTTAAAGAGACAGCATGCAAGCAAGGGTGAGGGGCAGAGGGAGGGAAAGAGAATCTTAAGCAGGTTCCACAGTCAGCATGGAGCCTGATGAGGGGCTCAATCCCTCTCCCCCAGGATCACACCTGAGCCAAAATCAAGAGTCAGACGATCAACGGACTGAGCCAGCCAGGCACCCCATGTTAATTTTCTATGAAAATCTAAGTTCCATGTTTTTCATCACTGCATTTCCATTATCTAGCACAATGTCTGACACATTACGAGTAATTAACAAGTGTTTTAATAAATTGTGTCCAAAGCTTCTTGGAAAACATAAATGTAGAAAAACAATAGCTCTGCTACAGAGAACATCACCACCCTTGTCAAGTCACGTAACTGCTTGGACTGAAGCAAAAATAATGCTTTTATGGCTTTTTATAAAATAAAAACTCATTTAATTAAACGGTACTTGAGTTCCTGCTATCTCCTTGGCATTATGCTACATGCCAGAGGCTTTTTAATAAGTGATGCCTCATCTCCAAAAATCCAGTCTGGTAGAGCAGCAAGAGGTTCTCAATGCCTGGTAAGGGATCCCCAGGACCCTTTCAAGGGATCAAAACTATAGTAAGCATTATTTGTCTTTTTCAGGTCTTTCACAAATAGAGAGCAGAGCTTCTGGGAGGTCACATGATGTGACGAAGGGCAGTAGAATGTGTGCTTGTGCGTTAATGCGCCATAAAACGTTCTCTATTTTAAATTCTAGTTCAGTAAATGTTCAGAACCCACATAAACAAAACCCTGTGGGGTCTTCCATAATTTTTAAGAGAACAAACAGGTTCTGAGACCAAAAAATTGAAAGACCATTGCGACAGAGGCCGTTAGCAAAAAGGCTAGCTGTGGATGACAACAGAGACTAAAATGTGAGGTCTATGGCCCAATTGAAAGTCAAAATGGGCCTCCGATCAGGGGGAAATCGCGTGGAAAGCGGAAGACAGGTGTGATAAGGGCGTGGGCGAGGTGCAGCCCCAGCACAGGCCCTCCGGGAGTGTCCTCACCCCCGCGGCACGCTGAAAGCCCTGGAGGCAGGCCCACCTCTTCTCAAGGACACACACTTCCTTCCCTTTTATACTCTCAAAACGAGAGGCTGTAAATTCTTCTCTCGCTGGTCATCGATCTAATAAAAGCCACGGCCTAACTTGGACCAGACAGGAAACCGTACGGCAGTCTCTCTCAATTCTAACGTTTAAAACTCCATCTAAGTTACCAATAACTGTAAAGTTTGGCGTAGGAGTTAAAACGTCTGCTTCCCGACTTGGGATGGGGAGGGGGAAGAAAGGGAAAACCGGTGCAAGGCAGAAAAGGGCGGGAAAATAAAGCACCAAAGAAAGAAAGAGCGGGCTTGGGGGAGGGGAAAGACTCAGCTCAAGAAGCCAATGAATGAGACCGAGGCTGCCGCACGTACCCTAGCCGCCCGCCTGCGCAGGCGCACGTCGGGTGATCTCGCGGGAAAGAACCGTTGCGGGTCCAGGCTTTGCGCCCAGGTGGGAGGAGGGGTGTGGAGGCGGGAGTGAAGTCTCGCGAGAAGAGGCTGTTTCGTAGCGGAGCCCTCTGGCTGAGAGTGTCTGAGGATCCGCCGCCGGATCCGCGGACGGTTTAGTGAGCCCGTTAGTACCCCTGTCGAGACTCACGTCGCCGTCATGTCCCGCTACCTGCGCCCCCCCAACACGTCTCTGTTCGTAAGGAACGTGGCCGACGATACCAGGTATGTACGGGGAGATACTCCGGGCCTACCCTGGGAGGCCGCAGGCGCTCGGGGAGGACCCGGGCGGCGGCGGCGGCGCGTTGGGTCGGGGGAGGGGAAGGGGGAAGATGGCGGGTACCGCGCGGGCCTTCGGGCCCCAACTAGGCCGCGCCGTCGGCTCAACCGCCGCGTGGGAGCGAGGGCGGCGCCCGGGTCCTCCCAGGCCGCCGCGGGGAACGCGGGCCGCGTGGCGGGATTTCGGTGCCCCTCCTCCTCCGCAGCTCGGAGCCTCTTCCTCCTCGCTTCCTCTCCGCGCGTCCAGCCCCCGCCGCGGCGGACAGTCCGCTACCCACGGACTTGAAGTTCACGTTCTTTGGGGTACACGCCCCCTCGGCGCTTAGAATTTTTTTTCGTAGTTAAAAAATTGCAACGAAACAACGGGATCGGGGGAGGGGCATTATGGCGAACCATTCTCTACTCCTTTTTTGTCGTTATGTTTGTGATTTTTAAAACCTTGTAGATGTTTAGAGAAAGGGAAGGTTGAAAATGGGGAGATAAAATTATTCCAGTAGACCGTGCGTTCTAGCTCTTCTCATTTCCCGGAAATATAAACTAGTCACCCTTTGAAAAGTGAGGTTTAGGAAGTAATAACCATTTCGGCGTTGATAAGCTAAAATTGCATTAATCCAGTCCGTGCCTTTGTTCTCACCAGTTACCTTAATTGCTTGTAGTTATCGTCAGAATTTTTTGGAACACATCTTATCACAAGAAGACTACGTTTTCACAATCACTCTGACACCCCCGAAGTCAATTTTATTTTGATAGCCTTGTGATTTACATTTTTCTGTCCTAACTTCTTAAGTAGGAAAGTAAGCAGTATTCTGGTGTGTAGAAAAATTTCTCCTTAGATCATTTTGACCTTTATTATTTAAGGAGTTACATATATTTTTGTGGCTTTTATTTTTCAAAGCTTTCTCTACCAAGTGCCTAACCCTGTCGCTGTAATTTTATGGATAAAAGTGATTGGTATTTTTCAGGCTACTAATGTTGGTTTGATACTGTAAAAGAAAAACAGTAATATTTACTATACAATCTAATGCTATTGTACCTCCTGTGAAAAATTAAAAGGTGGTTAGAAACAATAGGTAAACTGACCACGTTGCCTTAGCCGTGTTTTCCTGTTGTATGTAAGATAGTAATGGATTTTATTAGGCACTGCGTTATCATCTAGAATCTTAGGTCTTTTCTTTGTCAAGAAGATCTATTGCCTGTACATATTGTGTATGTTCTTAAAGTTGGCTCTTGATGTTGAGACTTAGAAAGCTTGTCTGTTTTAGGTAACCAGGGATGCAGCACAGTCCCTTTTATTAATGACAGATTACAGAAAGATACCTATTTCTTACAGAGACATTCTTTTAAAGAAGTGAACATAAAAATTGGGGGTCTTTTTATGATGTTTTAGGTCCGAAGATTTACGACGAGAATTTGGTCGTTATGGTCCTATAGTTGATGTGTATGTTCCACTTGATTTCTACACGCGTCGTCCAAGAGGATTTGCTTATGTTCAATATCCTTTCTTCAGATGGCTGATTAGTGAGGGGTGTTGAAGTTTGAAATTCAAGTTTATGTAAGAGGTAACATCTAAAAAGTAGTTTACTTTTGTCCTCTAATAAATGTTTTGTCTTCAAATTTTTGAAAATTCTGACTCACGTTGCTCTTAACTATTTCTTAAAGTTAATCCAAAAATAGTAAAATATTTAAATTCCCATTCATGCTGCTGAAACTCAAATCAGTGATTATGATTTGTGATTTAAATTTGCATACACTCTGGTTGCTACCACCTTTAAATGTAAGTCAAATTAAAAGTTAATATGTTCTTGTGCTTAGCAATTAAAGTTTGGTATTGTCTGTTAATTTGAATCACTTGATCAAAAACAAATTGTATAACAATGAGGTAAACTTCTTTAATATTGTCCCCTAATTTGCTGTCCTCTGTTGTTACCTCAGAGAATGTAAAGCTGTACAGTTATGGCGACCCCAAAGAGAAAGCATGAAAGAACCTTTAGAGTAGAGTTCAACACTTAAGGCAAGTAGACAAGCCAAAGACCTCTTAAGGATCAGGCTTGAAGAGAAGGGAGAGTTTGGGAAAAGAAAAAATAAAGAAAAGCTGGAAGAAGGACAAGCCTAATGGGAGACAAAGCCTCGCTTTATCTACAAAAGGGGGAAAAGGTTGTTTTTCAAAGTTAAAGATAAAGCCATCTGTCATATTTGGCCAAGCATCTCATGACAAGTCCTTCTGACAAGCACTTAAAGAGTTAAAGGTCAAGATGAAGTTGAATGATGGCCAAGATTAAAGGAGTCATACCTGATGTATCCTACAGAATAACTATTTTCCTTTTTTTTTCCTTCTTTTTTTTTTTCTTTTTTTTTTTTTTTAATGTTTTGTTGCAGTTAATTTTTTTAACCATTCTGGTTTGGTCTAGTGACAAAACCTGTAACTTGATTTATGTGGGCCTTTGATGTTGTGATTGTGGTCTTGTAAAAATGCACTCTTCTCTTAGATTGTCAAGTTAAAGTGTACCAGGATGTAATGTTGTTAAGCTTAAACTCAGCATATTTCTGTTTTGGGCCATATTGTCAGATGCCATAGGGTTACAGGCAGTGCTCTTTGGAGGAGCATGAGGTTCTGGGGTCGAGCCAACTCCACAGAGCCATGCTAAAAGGGAGACAGGTGCTGGCATTGGGACCTCCTTAGAAACAACTCTGGTGGTCTTGTAAGGTCAAATCCACTGAAAATAGTACTTGTTTAGAGATTTTAAAGTGGCTGCTATGGGCACACACGTACTCTTGACTTCTTAACTTAGCTCTGTGAAGCCCTCAGGTCCTGCACTGCTGTAGCACATAGGATCAATTGGCCCTGAGTGGATTGCAGAAGGCCTTATCCCTGGTATAGGTACCTAATCAGGACCTTTGGAAAATCATTCCCTGACCCAGAGTTTTAGGTGCCATTTCTTCCTTCAGTGAGACAGCAAAGGTTTGGGCTGTGGGTGTCAGGCTAGGAAAAATTTTTCAGTGGGTCTCTTGAAACTTAGGAAGAGTTCTAGGGAGACTTACGGGAAATGCTGAAAGCTGCTATTTCTACAAAGCTAATGATCAAGGACAGTTGGGGGAATTGGTGGCAAAGTTCTGTTACAGAGAGGATAAGAGCTATCTTTGGCTTGGTTGGTTGGTTGCATGTTTTTAAAGGCGATGCTTTCTGGCTTACAATGTTGACCTGCTTTTACTTGGTTTGGGGTGGCCTGGGAACCAGGATCAACACTAGTTTGCCTCGGGAGTGTGTGATACTTGAGCTAGAAGAGGGTTGTCAACTAAAGGAGAATCATATACTTTCTATACGTAATGTCTCTCTGTAGTCTTAAAATAGTTAAGTAGGTCTCAGGATTTTGCAAAGATCCCAAGTACAAATTTCTCCTTAACTAGCATCAGAGTGATACTTGACACTGTTCCCAATGAGGCTTTTCTTATGTATAGTAGAATGTTGCTATGGTTCATTCAGGCTAGGATTCTGTTTTGGGGGGTAGACCCAAAGAATTATTTAGATTTACTCTCAATAATTCTTATATGTTTTAATTTTAATCCTTAAAAAAATTATTATATTCTGCCTCCTGGGGTAATAAAGTGGTACACCTGTTAAGCGAGCTTCCTCTTTAAATATTTTAGAGCCCAACTGCATTAACCTTGACAGATGTTGAATTATAGTACTCATACTCAAGGTTCTAAACTCCCTCTCAACATTTTTTTCTTGTTGAAAGTCATGTGACTTAGGACTTGGGAAAACCTCTCCTTTAACATCCACATAATTTTTTGGGAAGAGAGACCTAGGAATGGGCTGTGGTCCTTAGTGCTTTCAGAATGAAAGATAGGAAATCTGATGAGGCAGACATTTTAGTATCTGAAATAAACAGATACTAGTATCAGTCTTGGAGAGAATAAGTCTTGTCAGTGCTGTTTTTTATTCAGCTTAAGATCTGCACTCTTGTTTCTCAATTTTGAGAAATATAAATGGACAATTAGAATAGTAATTTTTAGGATAGAATGAAAATCTACACCCCAACGTAACCTAACTCCCTTTCCAAAGCTTTTATATCAAATACTGCTCTGATTTGCTTGGCTTCCATCAGAATGGTGGTTTTAGGAAAGGAGCTAAATTTGTAAAGCCAAGAGTTGTCATAGTACTATTGCTGACAGGGAAGAGCAAGGCAGCAGCTTCTCCAGTCAAGGTACCAGCAGTTCCTGGGTCAGGTTTATAAATGTTACCTTGAAATTTCCGAAGTTGAAAACCAGTGCCAAATTCACTTCTTGGCAGTAAGCTGTATGTTTAGTATTATGGTTAGGGCTTTCCAGTCCAAGAATCTTTAGAAATGGTCTGTTATTTCTTGACCGCATGCTCTTATAGTCTGTGCATGGGTGTAATATGCTTTTGGTGTAGCAATGTCTTGACTATTGCTCGGTTATGTCTTGATATCCTCAGATGGATAGCCTACCAGTCTTCCCTGTATAGTATAAGGAAGACAACTGTGTGAAATAATAGTGTTAGATATATCTGAGAAAAACAGCAAAATCGATTTGAAGTTAATTCTTTTGTCTCTTATAAGGTAAGATATATTATGCTTGCTTACACAAGAACTATTGGCATTTTCTTTTTTTCCTTTGAAACAAAAATATGAAAATCAGTTTTGGTTTTATTTTAAGAAATTTTGTTTTAACATACAACATAGAAGTGACATTTGTTTTTCTTGTTTTCTAAAACTTAAAACTCAGGAAAAAATTTTGATAGGATTACTTGGTAGTTCAGCTATAACAGCTCTTATTTTTTAATAATTTTATGTATTCACATGTGTTTTCAAATGTATGCTGTCGGAAATCACAAGTGTTTTAATGCTGTCAAGTGTCTATAGCTGAATCAACCAACCTAAGTTAAGTGAGGTCTGGATGATTTTCTAGAATAATGTTGAGAGATTGTGAAATGGTCCAGACTTACCAACTGAAAGTTCACTCGTTATCAAAGTGTGCAAAACTTCCCAAGCCCCTTAACATTTAGCACATTTGAGGATGTCCGTGATGCCGAAGATGCTTTACATAATTTGGACAGAAAATGGATTTGTGGACGCCAAATTGAAATACAGTTTGCACAAGGAGATCGGAAGAGTAAGTACCCTTATGCCTAATATATGTATAAGTACATCATTTTAGAAACAGTGCTCTGATGTTTCTTAGGCAATTTGTCTTATATGTTTAAAATCTAAAAAGAGTTTTTGGAAAGATAGAGTAACTCAGATACATTTTGCAGACAGGTAGAATGTGAAGATTAGAATGACTGAAATGTTTGGACTCTGGCGTGGTTAATATTCTGGGGGTGGAATTAAAAGGGAAATTGGAAAGTATTGGGACTTTTCAGCCATTTCTCTTCATAAAGATCTTCAAGGTATAATTGGGTATTTGTTTTTTGTTTGTTTAAACCTTTTTTTTATGTTTATTTTTGAGAGAAAGAAAACACGAGCAGGGTAGGGGCAGAGAGAGAGGGAGACGCACAATCCAAAGCAGGCGCCAGGCTCTGAGCTGTCAGCACACAGCCTGATGAGGGGATTGAACCCACCAGCCATGAGATCATGACCTGAGCCCAAGTCGGGACACTCAATCGACTGAGCCACCCAGGTGCCCCAGAATCAGTATTTGTGTAGGTGTGTGGCTATGGAAATGAACAGATAGAATTAAGCAGATGATTATAGACTAAAACTAGAATTCATTTCATATTAGTATAATGTTTTATTATGCAGGCATGCACTAGGTGTTGGTAGCTGCGTGCTAATGAGGCTAGAGTTACAGGCTTTGGAGTCAGGTAGACCAGGGTTTAAATTTTGGCTCAACCGTTTTGTTACCTTGGACAAGACAGTAAAAGAGATGAGGGTTCCTGGATGGCTCAGTCAGTTAAGCATCTGACTTTGGTTTTTGGGGTCTCTCACCCTCTTCCCCTCAATAAATAAACATTTAAAAAAATNAATGATGGCCAAGATTAAAGGAGTCATACCTGATGTATCCTACAGAATAACTTTTTTCCTTTTTTTTTCCTTCTTTTTTTTTTTCTTTTTTTTTTTTTTAATGTTTTGTAAGCAGTTAATTTTCAAAACCATTCTGGTTTGGTCTAGTGACAAAACCTGTAACTTGATTTATGTGGGCCTTTGATGTTGTGATTGTGGTCTTGTAAAAATGCACTCTTCTCTTAGATTGTCAAGTTAAAGTGTACCAGGATGTAATGTTGTTAAGCTTAAACTCAGCATATTTCTGTTTTGGGCCATATTGTCAGATGCCATAGGGTTACAGGCAGTGCTCTTTGGAGGAGCATGAGGTTCTGGGGTCGAGCCAACTCCACAGAGCCATGCTAAAAGGGAGACAGGTGCTGGCATTGGGACCTCCTTAGAAACAACTCTGGTGGTCTTGTAAGGTCAAATCCACTGAAAATAGTACTTGTTTAGAGATTTTAAAGTGGCTGCTATGGGCACACACGTACTCTTGACTTCTTAACTTAGCTCTGTGAAGCCCTCAGGTCCTGCACTGCTGTAGCACATAGGATCAATTGGCCCTGAGTGGATTGCAGAAGGCCTTATCCCTGGTATAGGTACCTAATCAGGACCTTTGGAAAATCATTCCCTGACCCAGAGTTTTAGGTGCCATTTCTTCCTTCAGTGAGACAGCAAAGGTTTGGGCTGTGGGTGTCAGGCTAGGAAAAATTTTTCAGTGGGTCTCTTGAAACTTAGGAAGAGTTCTAGGGAGACTTACGGGAAATGCTGAAAGCTGCTATTTCTACAAAGCTAATGATCAAGGACAGTTGGGGGAATTGGTGGCAAAGTTCTGTTACAGAGAGGATAAGAGCTATCTTTGGCTTGGTTGGTTGGTTGCATGTTTTTAAAGGCGATGCTTTCTGGCTTACAATGTTGACCTGCTTTTACTTGGTTTGGGGTGGCCTGGGAACCAGGATCAACACTAGTTTGCCTCGGGAGTGTGTGATACTTGAGCTAGAAGAGGGTTGTCAACTAAAGGAGAATCATATACTTTCTATACGTAATGTCTCTCTGTAGTCTTAAAATAGTTAAGTAGGTCTCAGGATTTTGCAAAGATCCCAAGTACAAATTTCTCCTTAACTAGCATCAGAGTGATACTTGACACTGTTCCCAATGAGGCTTTTCTTATGTATAGTAGAATGTTGCTATGGTTCATTCAGGCTAGGATTCTGTTTTGGGGGGTAGACCCAAAGAATTATTTAGATTTACTCTCAATAATTCTTATATGTTTTAATTTTAATCCTTAAAAAAATTATTATATTCTGCCTCCTGGGGTAATAAAGTGGTACACCTGTTAAGCGAGCTTCCTCTTTAAATATTTTAGAGCCCAACTGCATTAACCTTGACAGATGTTGAATTATAGTACTCATACTCAAGGTTCTAAACTCCCTCTCAACATTTTTTTCTTGTTGAAAGTCATGTGACTTAGGACTTGGGAAAACCTCTCCTTTAACATCCACATAATTTTTTGGGAAGAGAGACCTAGGAATGGGCTGTGGTCCTTAGTGCTTTCAGAATGAAAGATAGGAAATCTGATGAGGCAGACATTTTAGTATCTGAAATAAACAGATACTAGTATCAGTCTTGGAGAGAATAAGTCTTGTCAGTGCTGTTTTTTATTCAGCTTAAGATCTGCACTCTTGTTTCTCAATTTTGAGAAATATAAATGGACAATTAGAATAGTAATTTTTAGGATAGAATGAAAATCTACACCCCAACGTAACCTAACTCCCTTTCCAAAGCTTTTATATCAAATACTGCTCTGATTTGCTTGGCTTCCATCAGAATGGTGGTTTTAGGAAAGGAGCTAAATTTGTAAAGCCAAGAGTTGTCATAGTACTATTGCTGACAGGGAAGAGCAAGGCAGCAGCTTCTCCAGTCAAGGTACCAGCAGTTCCTGGGTCAGGTTTATAAATGTTACCTTGAAATTTCCGAAGTTGAAAACCAGTGCCAAATTCACTTCTTGGCAGTAAGCTGTATGTTTAGTATTATGGTTAGGGCTTTCCAGTCCAAGAATCTTTAGAAATGGTCTGTTATTTCTTGACCGCATGCTCTTATAGTCTGTGCATGGGTGTAATATGCTTTTGGTGTAGCAATGTCTTGACTATTGCTCGGTTATGTCTTGATATCCTCAGATGGATAGCCTACCAGTCTTCCCTGTATAGTATAAGGAAGACAACTGTGTGAAATAATAGTGTTAGATATATCTGAGAAAAACAGCAAAATCGATTTGAAGTTAATTCTTTTGTCTCTTATAAGGTAAGATATATTATGCTTGCTTACACAAGAACTATTGGCATTTTCTTTTTTTCCTTTGAAACAAAAATATGAAAATCAGTTTTGGTTTTATTTTAAGAAATTTTGTTTTAACATACAACATAGAAGTGACATTTGTTTTTCTTGTTTTCTAAAACTTAAAACTCAGGAAAAAATTTTGATAGGATTACTTGGTAGTTCAGCTATAACAGCTCTTATTTTTTAATAATTTTATGTATTCACATGTGTTTTCAAATGTATGCTGTCGGAAATCACAAGTGTTTTAATGCTGTCAAGTGTCTATAGCTGAATCAACCAACCTAAGTTAAGTGAGGTCTGGATGATTTTCTAGAATAATGTTGAGAGATTGTGAAATGGTCCAGACTTACCAACTGAAAGTTCACTCGTTATCAAAGTGTGCAAAACTTCCCAAGCCCCTTAACATTTAGCACATTTGAGGATGTCCGTGATGCCGAAGATGCTTTACATAATTTGGACAGAAAATGGATTTGTGGACGCCAAATTGAAATACAGTTTGCACAAGGAGATCGGAAGAGTAAGTACCCTTATGCCTAATATATGTATAAGTACATCATTTTAGAAACAGTGCTCTGATGTTTCTTAGGCAATTTGTCTTATATGTTTAAAATCTAAAAAGAGTTTTTGGAAAGATAGAGTAACTCAGATACATTTTGCAGACAGGTAGAATGTGAAGATTAGAATGACTGAAATGTTTGGACTCTGGCGTGGTTAATATTCTGGGGGTGGAATTAAAAGGGAAATTGGAAAGTATTGGGACTTTTCAGCCATTTCTCTTCATAAAGATCTTCAAGGTATAATTGGGTATTTGTTTTTTGTTTGTTTAAACCTTTTTTTTATGTTTATTTTTGAGAGAAAGAAAACACGAGCAGGGTAGGGGCAGAGAGAGAGGGAGACGCACAATCCAAAGCAGGCGCCAGGCTCTGAGCTGTCAGCACACAGCCTGATGAGGGGATTGAACCCACCAGCCATGAGATCATGACCTGAGCCCAAGTCGGGACACTCAATCGACTGAGCCACCCAGGTGCCCCAGAATCAGTATTTGTGTAGGTGTGTGGCTATGGAAATGAACAGATAGAATTAAGCAGATGATTATAGACTAAAACTAGAATTCATTTCATATTAGTATAATGTTTTATTATGCAGGCATGCACTAGGTGTTGGTAGCTGCGTGCTAATGAGGCTAGAGTTACAGGCTTTGGAGTCAGGTAGACCAGGGTTTAAATTATGGCTCAACCGTTTTGTTACCTTGGACAAGACAGTAAAAGAGATGAGGGTTCCTGGATGGCTCAGTCAGTTAAGCATCTGACTTTGGTTTTTGGGGTCTCTCACCCTCTTCCCCTCAATAAATAAACATTTAAAAAAAATTTTTAAGATAGAGATGAAAATACCTGCTGAAGAAGAGGAGGGGCACTTAGGCAGATGCAGGCTGTAATTCTCTGGCTCTTGGGTTGGGTGATGGGTCCTTGCATATTCACTGTGTTATTTATATAAACACACACATGCATATAGTATCTGCTTCATAGAATTGAATGAGATGACATCAAAATTTGAGGACTGTCCAGGGATGTTGGTGGGTCTAAGGCATCCAATAAGTGTTCACTCTTTTCTACCTTTGTTATGGTCTCAGAACCATATAACCATATGTTACTTCATTTTGATACTTAAAGCATTGTCCATAGGCTACCAATAAGTATTTTCATTATTCATTGTTTCTAATAAATGAAAACCACACAGAATAATTCCAAGTTAGCATATGGTTCAAAGTCATTTTGTATTTTAATTTGGAATTTTTAAAAAATATGGTAAATGTTCTCAATGTTGAAATAGTTGGCATATTTTTAGACAACAAGCTAGATGGTGAAAGGTCTGTGAAAAAAAATAGTTGGGAAGACATTTGAGAGTATCATTTTTAACCGAAAACAGTATTCTGATAGACTTCCTTGGAAACAAATACTTTTTCCAAGGTTAATAGTCACATTTAACCTTGACATAGATTGGGGGTATAAGGGAAGAGAATACAGACATTTTCCCTATAATCTGAAGACTTAAAATACTAGGTTTTAAATGTCTCTATTTTCTAAATATCTCTGTTCTGTGTGATCATAGCTCCAAATCAAATGAAAGCCAAGGAAGGGAGGAATGTGTACAGTTCTTCACGCTATGATGATTATGACAGATACAGACGTTCTAGAAGCCGAAGTTATGAAAGAAGAAGATCAAGAAGCCGGTCCTTTGATTACAACTATAGAAGATCTTATAGTCCTAGAAAGTAAGTTTGATGTGTAGTACAGTAATCTGTCAGAAAAGATTTGTTAGCTTTTAATTTTTTTAACTTTTTGTACACTTAATTATATACATTGTATGCTTCATTGAGACTAAGATTATTTTAGTACTTTATTTTAAAAGTTTTATGGCTCAATTTTTTAATTAGAAACTTGAGAAGACTGTAAATAGACATTTGTCACTGTTTGCTTTTTCTGATGTACCTTTTAGCAGTAGACCGGCTGGAAGACCACGGCGTAGCAGAAGCCATTCCGACAATGATAGGTAAATAACTTTGCTTTGAAAATGACTTCTACATTTTTCAATTTCAGAGTGAACTTTTGCTCTAAAAATAACAAATTTGATTAATATAGAATCTAATTTTTACTCTAATTGTATCTCTCCTCTGTTTTGAAAGATTCAAACACCGAAATCGATCTTTTTCAAGATCTAAATCCAATTCAAGATCACGGTCCAAGTCCCAGCCCAAGAAAGAAATGAAGGCTAAATCACGTTCTAGGTCTGCATCTCACACCAAAACTAGAGGCACCTCTAAAACAGATTCCAAAACACATTATAAGTCTGGCTCAAGATATGAAAAGGAATCAAGGAAAAAAGAACCACCTAGATCCAAATCTCAGTCAAGATCACAATCTAGGTCTAGGTCAAAATCTAGATCAAGGTCTTGGACTAGTCCTAAGTCCAGTGGCCACTGATAGTATAAACCTTGATATTTTTAGGCATGTATCACTCATTTACTCATAGTTTGGTTTACTTAAATTATCAGGAATACAATGTTGCAATGATGCTTAAAAAACACTTGTCAGTTTTCCCTGTACCAGGCAAATGGTTATAATTAAAATGATATGCTGTTGAGAAGCCACTCTTAAGAGTCCAGTTTGTTTAATGTTATGGGCAGCTACCAATTTGTGGTGTCTCTGTATATTTTTGTAAAGATTCTCATTTTTTATGCTTGAAGTATTGGTGAAAAGATGTTGGTTGACCATAATTTGCAACATTGTCTAATTAAAAATAAACTTTCATATCCATATTTGGTAGAACTGTTAACCTAGAAATGTAGCTTGCTAATAAGATAGAAGGATACAAAAGTGAAGTTGTAGCCACAGTACAACACTGACTGATCAGACACATTTAGGTTCAGGGTGGACCTTCTTGTCTTGTTACGATGTCTAGGCCCGTGATAATAATAGTTAATTTATGACAGCGTGGAGTAGTTCTTTTGTTAACCCCACTGTCTTGGGGAATGATGCCAACTGGGTTAAGTAGGATTTGGGGGCAGATTGAGTTTTTTGACTGAAACATGGAGCCTTCACTGTTTTTTTCTGTTTTCTATGAAGAGTTGGAACATATAAACATGGGAAGAATTCAAACCTTAAAATTTGAGCAGGTCAATGATGGCAGAAATCATTTTAAGGGGGAAAAAATGCTCTCATGTAGTTACTCTAAACTTTAAGGAGCATTGTTGGTCATATTGCTTAGTTTTCTTACTGCTGTTAAAAAAAAAGGCAGTAAGTACATTGTTTCAAAGTAGGTTTTGTTTATGCATATGCATAGTGTAAAAGAACTGAATTTGATGCTTCTAGCACTGGGTCTGTGCATTTGCATCAAAATTCGCCTACTACTTTATGAAGGAGGCTTGTTCTTCACACTTCAGTTTATTTCCTGTGAGGCAAGTTGAAAGCGAACACTCCCACTCTAGGTAATTATGTGGTGCCATGAAATTTAAAATATTTTGGAAAAACAATTTTCAGTAGGAGTCCCATCTCTGAGTTGGATTATCAATGTAGTACCAGCAGTACCTGACTTAAACAAACAAACAAAAAACAGGAATCAAAACAAAAAAACCACAATACCCTAACCATTTATAATTTTTAGCATTTCTCTGAGAGATCGTTTGGGGACAATAAAAGGGACATGTCCAATCTCATTTCAGAATAAAAGCTAGCATCTTTAAAATTTCAGATTGCTTGCTTGCAGGTATAAGTAAATATTGTGGGGAAACAATTCCTTTTAGAGGATTACTTTTCTCAATTTTGGTTTTAGTAATATAGGCCTTGCCTGTAAAGAACAAAAGATGGTTTTTAAATACTGTTTGTGGAATGTGTTTAAAGGATTGATTCTAGAACCTTTGTATATTTGATAGTATTTCTAACTTTCATTTCTTTACTGTTTGCAGTTAATGTTCATGTTCTGCTATGCAATCATTTATATGCACGTTTCTTTAATTTTTTAGATTTTCCTGGATGTATAGTTTAAACAACAAAAAGTCTATTTAAAACTGTAGCAGTAGTTTGCAGTTCTAGCAAAGAGGAAAGTTGTGGGGTTAAACTTTGTATTTTCTTTCTTATAGAAGCTTCTAAAAAGGTATTTTTATATGTTCTTTTTAACAAATATTGTGTACAACCTTTAAAACATCAATGTTTGGATCAAAACAAGACCAGCTTATTTTCTGCTTGCTGTAAATTAAGCAAACATGCTATAATAAAAACAAAATGAAGGAAATAATGATTAACTGGAATTATTATAGTTTTGAATGAGATTCTAAAATAACAATGGAAACAATCCTTTGTAGATTTAGGAATATTTTTAATCAGTGTTGCACTAGGCACAACTAACTTTTTTACTTTGGAATCGATAGAACTTGCCAGAAAGGTACATCTTTATATACTACTTAAAAGTTCCTTATGTAATGTCTCAAAGTTGTTTCATGATTGCTTTTTAAGCCCCTTGGGTTAAATAACTTAAGAGATTATTGGTGGTATTAAGAGAAGTATTAAAATGAAACTTGAGTCCGCTAAATTATAAGTTTATATTTTCATTATTGGATGGACCAATAATAATTCTGCTCTTTCCTGTCCTAAACAAGATGCATTGGGCCTTATGTTTATATAATACGTTTGCATTGAATGTCAGTGAGCAGTTAGACTATTAAGTGATAACCACTTTGGGGAACTGATTTAGGTGTTTTATGGTTTGAAATTCTAGCTGCTCTATAATGACAGCAATGATAGAGGATACTTAGTATTTATGATGTGCCAGACACAGTACTAAAAACTTTGTGTTAGCTCATTTATTTTTCACAAAACCCTATGAGAAAGATACTTAGATTTACCCCATATCATAGATAAGGAAATTGAGATACAAAGAAAAAGCCATAAAAAAGGCAGACCTAAGATTTGAGCCCAGGCCTGGTCCTTGGTGATTTTTTTTTTTTTTTAATGGACTATAATTTGAGGGAAGTAGTTTGAGGAGATAGCCCATTGAAACTGTTCTCAGTCTTTGTGTAGAAATGGGAGGCCTGATGATGATTTCATTTTTATTTTCTACTTGTGTCACTTAAAATGACTCGCACTATTTCCTTTAGAACGTTTTATGTTACTTCTAAAGTGATCTACCTAATGAGCTTCAGAGGGACTAAATTATAGTTGAACCCATGATGGGATCCTACTCCTACTTGATGAGGATCCTTACACAGTGCTTTCATTTTGGGCTACATAGTTCCACAGTTAGGGAGTAGCTACTGTGTGTCTGGCACTGTTGTCAGTATTAGAATAGATCCTATCAAGAAGCAGTGAGGACTGACACTTCACCTCACTTTTTACTTAAGCTCTCTCTGCATTTTGTTCTGTTTTGTTTTGTTTTGAAGCCAAGTAGGCAAGAAGAAAAATGACAGATAATGCTTCAGTGAGAAAGGAAAGGTGCTACATAGAGTATGAGCTGTTAAGTTTACAACCCAGGAAAAAGACCTGGGAACTATTGTACTATTCTCTTGAAATTTGGCCCAGTAAGCTGCTACATCCAGTTCAACTAACAAAATCCTGTATACCACAGAGAAGAATAAAGAAAACCAAACTGACAAACATCCTTCTTTTATTTAAGACCAAACTGCAGCTGGAATACCCAGTACAGTTCTGCTTACTACACTTCAAGAAAGATCTGAGAAAGCGGAAAAAGAACCAAAGAAGGGCAGTTCAAGCGACCAAAGGGTGGGTGGAAGGTGCTGCAGTATGAATACTGTACGAATATTTTGACTCTGGTCTGAAAAGATAAAAGAATGTTATCGAAACTACATGGAATAATTGAAGTCCCTTCAAGTTTGAAAGTAAGCATTTTAGGACAAATAAAAGGAAATTCAACTTTGTACTTGTGGAAACTAATCCCTAAATCTGAATAGGTTTATATTGATTCATGGGTAACAGGTCCCTAATAAATTATTGGAAACTAGGATGTCTGAATATCAAGGAAGACAGCCATAGTCTCTTACAGTGCCTCTATTGGTCTGTCTCAAACTGAATTGGGTGAGAAAAGGTATGGTCCAGTATAAACTTTTTCCTGGTTATCTCTTAAAGTCAGTTCCATTTTCGCTATTGGCAAATCTTGCCTTTGTTTATTCCAGTGCCAGTGTTTTTCTGCTTAATGGTTTGCTTTGTTGGCATCTGAGTTTATTTACTTGTATGCCATGTGCAGTTTACATCTTACACTCTTTTCCAGGTAAATTCCAATTAAAATACTTGACATCTAGCTAAGAGGGTCCATCTCTTCTCACCTCTGTCCTAAGTCAGTATATTCAGAAAACATTTACTGAGCCCTTAACTGTGGGCAAAAATTGTACTGGGTAATCGGGGAGAAAAATAGAATTCACTTATTTAATAAATGTCTACTGAGCACAATCTAGTCAATCATTACAGTATGACCTCATTGTTTTGAGGTGTATTATTCATAATATTTTACACCATTCATATCTTAAATGTAATTATAAAACCCAGAATACTATCAATGATAATTTTGTGGTTATCTGCCATTTAAAAGTATCCAGTATTTCTGTTTGCATCCCATTAATACAAATAATGAAAAAATGTTTTAATCTGTAATAAACTGATTTATTGTGCAGTGACTGTAATATACTAGAGTTATATTAAATTGTTAACTCTGCCTCCTCAAACACACATTAGGAAATCCCAAAAATAAGTAACTTTGCATTAGACTAAAGGAGACTCTGGGTGCTATAATTAGATTATTTTGAGGCAGACAGAGAGCTGTTATCCCAACTGATTTAGTGTGTTCTGTAATTGAGAAAATGTTCACCAGATTATACTTTTTAGTGATTTACATGTACATTTTATAGGGGACATGTTCTGTGTATAGTGAATAAATAACTTTTATAGTATCACAAAAATGTTTTGGATTCCTTAGTTCCTTATTAGGATATTAAGTTTGTTTATCTATACATTGATTCTTCATCATTCATATTTGATTTTTGTCATTTCTGCCACATTTTTTTGTGTGTGAAGTTCTTCATCTGAAAATACGGAAGTGTCCAAGCCTTTTGTTTAAAACAATTGAAAATACTGCAGAATATACATAACTATGGGAGATACGAAATGGAGGTATTTTTATTCCTGTTTGATTAAAAAAAAAAAAATTTTTTTTTTTCCCAAACTTGCCTAAGATCACACAGCAAGTAAGTGGCAGATCCTAGGTTAGAGTTCATGGTTTTTTATTTGGTTCCTGCTAGTTTTGTGCCTTTTTTTTTTAATCAAATGGGAGATTTTATGACTTAATAATATTAATATAATGGGATCTAGAGTTCATGCAGAGGGAAGATTTAATAGATTTATGAAAAAGATATAATATCAAAAAGTATTTTGTTTGTGCTTTGTGGATGAAAAAGAGGTTAAATGTAATCCAAGACTTCACAGCTGTTGTGACTCAGGCTCTCCATCCTGGCTTTCCAAATTTCATTCACACTGTATTGCATTTTGACCCTATTGTTTACAAAATCCTGAGATACTTTGAAAAGAGGCGGCTGTGATTTGAGACAGCACAATGATAGTGGAGGAATAAATAATCTTAATGGCATTTCTAACCAGAAGGTCGGGGCTTTTAGGAGCAAACTGTTCCATTTATAAATGAAGTAAGCAACCTGCTTGTTTTCGTTCAAGTGTTGACATCTACAAGATGTAGCTAGTTGCTATAGAAAAGTGTCCGTCTGGGGTTTTTTCTCTGCCCCTTTCCAACAGTGTTGGTGATGTTTATTGCATTGTGTTTCTGTGTATTCCTAATGGCTGTTTCACCGTATTAAAATGGGATTCTTTATTTGGAATAAAAAGCAAGACATGTAAATTCCTTTCATTGGTAATTGACAGAGTAGTTTGTAAAGAAGTAAAAGGCCTTTGTGTCTAGTTTTTGTAGATCGCATCTCTGAATGCTAGAGAGTGAAATAAACAACTGGTCTAGGAGCCAAACATTTGGGTTTTTTTTTTTTAATCTCTCATTTCCTTAGGTTTAGCTCTGCCCTCCAGGTGTGTGGCTGGGTAGGCCTTCCTCATTTGCATAGGAGGCCTTGGAGATGTACTCTGTCCCTCCTGTTTTGCAAAGTACTTGCCACTGAGAATGCAATTAAAGAAACCAGAAAACTTACCCAGAAGCCTTCAGTTCTTTTTTCCACCTTGTGCTTGCTTTTGGGAAGAATAGAACTTATTAACCAGGAATTAGATGTAAGGATAGGTTAGAGTTACTCTGTCATACTATACACTGCCATCAAGAAGATAATGACAGATTCAAATATGGACATTGATTTTAAGGCTCACACTATGGCTGACTGAAGCCTTAGAGAAGTTGGTTTTTCAACAACTTTTTTGTTCTCACAAGTACAGTGGTTTGGGAAATTCCTATCACTAATTCCTGTAGGGTAACCAAAGCTATTAGTACCTCTCTGGGGCGAGATGTTGAGATCTTTAACTTTTTCTTTAGGTTAACTTTTTTTTTTAAACTTTTTTTTTTTAATGTTTTATTTATTTCTAGGAGAGAGAGACAGCGTGAGCAGGGGAGGGTCAGAGAGAGAGGGAGTCACAGACTGAAACAGGCTCCAGGCTCTGAGCAGGCAGTCAGCACAGAGCCCGACGCGGGGCCCGAACCCACGAACCGCGAGATCATGACCTAAGCGAAAGTCGGACGCTTAACCGACTTAAGCCACCCAGGCGCCCCTCTTTAGGTTAACTTTTAAAAGCTTCAATTAAAAGCCTCTTCTCACCCACCCTCAAGTCTGAACACTTAATCACTTGAATCCATCCCAAACCAAAAACATTATTCTGTGTAAACCCAGAATTAACATACCTAGGCTGAGAACTGTTAAATCTAGTCAAGTTCCACTGGTTAAAGAATTTGGCAGTGTCCATAGACATTACGCAGAGAATGGGGGGGTGGGGATGGAGACTCAAGATTTGTACTTCCTCCAAGTCATTTACTTCCTGTTTTCATGATACAGTAATGGCCTGGCTGTGGTGTTCACCTAGTCTTGAACTAGTAGTTTAAGCTACCCCTATCTCTTGGAACCTATTAAGTGTTCTGATGCCTTTAGCCACCCCAACCCAAGTCCCCTGGTGGAAATTACACTTTTTACATATCAGCATATGAACAACCGTTTTTGTCAGTTTGAGAAATCCTGTTTTCTATAAACATCAATCTTAGAATGCAGAGAAAAGAGAGGCAGGGAATTAAACCTGGTTTATTCCCTTGAGTCAGAATCTCAGTTTCCAAAGTATGCTGTGGCCTTCTACGGTCTGCCCTGCTGGGGGTGGGGGTGGCTGGTCATAAACCATAGCTTTAATTACAGCTGTTGAACTAATCCAAATGTATGTTATCAGTTGGCACATTGGTTGCCTTGTAAAAACCCAATAGTCCTACAGTATTCTGGTTGGATTAACTATGTGCGTGTAAGAATACTCAATCATAACAATTTTTTTATAAAATACAAACCGCTGGGGGGAAGAAGCAATTTTATTTTTTAATTTTATGCTTGAAATTTGCACATGTACATTAGGTACTATGTAAACTTGTCTTTAGAATACCATTATTTGATTTGGGCAACATTACCTAGGAGAAATACAGCTTTGCCATTTTCTTTTAAAATGCCAAAAAGCTGCCAAATTAGAATAGGGCACTTAAAATCAGAAATTTTAAATTGGCTCTCCCACACGCATTTGTCATTTACTATTGGGTTAACTTACATTTAGGTAAAATAGGTTATCGCAAGGTATTATGCAAGAAATTACGTCTTTTACATAAGTGGTCCCCTGGGTTGCACTTACTAGTAACAAAAAATATATATACTGGCATCATACGCTAAACTATATTCATATAGATTACAAAAATTAAAAGCCAAAATGAATCTTTAAGGTTGGATGGACCTTTTAATAGTGAATCTTTGGGCTTAAGGAGGAAAAATTAAAATAGTCCCATACTGCATTTCACATCTCTTAAAAATAGGAAGTGTTTTAGCAGCTTTAAAACCTTTACAGTTATATAAAACTTATTACACTAGGGTTTATTTTGAAATATAGTTTACCACCAGATCAATTATACATACACTGGCACTTTAGCACAAGGGCAAACTTTTAAAAAAAAAGATTATTTTGGACCTTTAAAATCAGGCCATAGCATAAAAAACAAGTGTCATGGTCTTACATTCAGCAAATTCATACTAAAATATTCTATATTTATAGGATAAATGCCAACAAAACTTTACATATGCTACAAATTTATTACATGTATTTACATGGCTCTTTTCCTAGGTACTTAAAACTTTCACATTATACAGCTCCCCACTTAACTAAGCTTTGCAGGATGACTCTTGAGACCAGATCACTGTCAGAATAGCTTATGCAGTGCTAGAATACAAAAATGTATTTTGAAAGCTACTCAGTGACCACCAAATACCATTTCTATAAAAACTGGTTTTGGGGTGCATTAGTTAGCAGACGCTTAGCCACTGCATCAAAGAAACGGCCATTGGGGTGTATGGTCTCCTAAACTCGGTAGCCACTAGTGCCCGTTCTACATTCACCAGCATAGTTTGCTAAAATGAAACCCTTCTGTAAGAAAAATTCACATTTTCTTTTTGGCAGTGCATCAGGTTGTTGGCATATTACTGGTCTAGGTGCTTCTAGGACTTGAAACTTTCAAATATTCACCTACTTTTCAGTCCCTGTGTATCTTAACTAGATGTTTATAATTAGATTCACTAGCTCTCAACAGGTCAGTCTACTGATCCGCGAATGATAATCTGAAATTCATATTTCCGCTCAACAAACAATAGGAAAAGTTGATCACCATTCCCCAAATCTAAACTTAAAACCATGTAAGTTACTCAATTGAGAACACTTAATATCAAGTACTATTATGAATAATTTTGTTATTTTAAGTTGCACTGATGCCACCGTTACATGACAGTGCGCACAACACCTAAAACAAGAGGAAGTCTAATTTGATTTTCTACATTAGCAATTTTACAAATAGATTAATGCCCTAGTGAATTTGGTCAGAAACAATTGACAACTACCCTCAAATATAACTAAATTTCATTCAAACAGTGTTTTATCTTATACCTGTACTTTAAGTAAGGTTTTAAGCTGAAATGTCATTATTTCCTTATCAGAAGGATTAAAGGAAACTGGAACCCAGTGGCTTGGTGGTTTAGGAAGAACGCTTGGTGACGGTGGCTCACTAAACTTGGCTCCAGCATAATTCTGATTAGTTTGAGACTTAAAAAGCAAGCTAGGACTTGATAAGCTAGAGTTCCAGTTTTGATTATTTGGGAAAGTTTTGTTCTTCCCCCCATTTTGCATGGCCTGCCGTGCAGCTGCTGAGGAGGTGTAAGTATGTCCCCTTTCTTTTTTTTTATGAACAATCTTCATCTGGGAATTCTGATCCTTGGTCTTCTGTCTATTAAGCTGTTGCTGGTTCTTACTAACATTTCTCGATTGAGGGGCTGGAATGTTATACCTCTCTCCGCCACCCATCTTCAGCTTCTTTGTCACCTGTAAGTAAAGGGAAAATACTGAGCAAAGTTCCAGGAAGAAAAGTTCCAAGCTTTAAGAAGCTTCTATAGCTAGCCTCAGCTTATAATTCCAGAAGTCATTTTCAAATTGCTATTCAACGGCTTTAACCCTATCGTTGATGGATGTTCACACTTCATTCTATTCACAGCCTTTATTACCTTCTGAAAAGCAGGCTTCTCCCCAAATCTGAATCAGTAGAGAAACAAAAACAAATGGTTTAGGAGGTGTGCCCCCACAACAGGGATTTTATACCTTTCAGTCTGCTTCTCGGATTGCAGGATTTCCACTACCTGTCCCCTTCCTTGCTGCCAGGCCCAGGATAATAGATGGTGCGTTCTGCCGGATCCTTTCCTTTGTCTCAATACAGAAGTTTTCATGGGCCGATCTGCTGAGTTCAGCTTGGGAGCTGAGGCCAACATCTGAGTCTCCTCAGCACACAAGTAGGAGAGAAGTCCTAACTAGAAATGTAAAGATGACTTCATTACTTCCAATTCAAAAACACGGGGAAAAGTGATCGTTTATATTTTCGGCGGAAATACAGTTAAGAATGGCTACTTCCTGAACTGACAAAAGTAGAAAATAGTCTCGTAACTGTCATCATTTAAAAGCTTTCAGCCTTGAGATCCAGGAATTGGAGGAGACGGGGGTCTGCAAGTCCTAGAAGTTACTTATCTTTACTGGGGAACTTTCCCGAGTCTCACACGGATTTTGTCACCAAAATGGCCAAACTAGGGAAGCATTAGCTTTTGCAGCCATGCCAAGAAGCTGGCAAAAAATGCGCTTCCTAAAGAGAGACCCGTGTTTTTAAAGTCCTTACGGGATGTTCCAATCTTGCGACAGACCGCGCATCCGTTTTCAAACAACCTCCTTTCCCAACTCGCCTACGTCATGACAAGTTGTCTCCTTTAGTTATGAACTCTCCACTCGATCTCATCTTTAAGTTTTCACAAGCCATAACCCAAGCTGATTTTCCCTCTTAACTATATAAAATGCCTCCTTATCAGTGAGCATTTAACATTCCGAGTTCTCACTATCCCAAGCAAACAAGTTCCCAAGGAAATTAGCCCTCTTTTCGGAAGGCTAACAGGGCCTTCCGGGCTATTTTAACAGCCCTTGAGTCATCCCCAGCGCGAACCCGGAAAGTTCGGGGCTTCCTATCGGGGCCTGACTTCCGAGTAGGGCTCCCTCTCTCGAGCCCGGCCCGGGGCCCCGATGCTCCCCGGCCGCCGCGCCCGACCCGGTTTCCCCGATCTCTCCTCCTTCCCCCAACAATGGGGAGCGCGGCCGCCAACATGGCCGCGCCCGCGGCGCCGCCGCCACTCACCGACTTCAAGCTCGGAACTGCGGCGGCGGCCCTTGCTCGGCGTCAAAGCCCCCCTCCCCTTCCAGGGAGAGACGAGGCACGGAACGAACAAAACCCACGGGCACCGACGAGCTAGCTGCTGACCGCCTCGGCTTCCCGACCAGACCTCCTCCTTCCGCCTCTACCGACAAAATGGAGGAGGCGACGAGCGCCGAAGCGGGGCCGGGAGGCACGGCGGCCAATCAACACACGCCGACGCGCCGCCCGGCCAATGAGACGCGCGCCACCGCCTGTTGCTGGGGTTGGCAGGGGCGAGGGAGGCGAGTTTGTGGCCGGGGGTTTGAAATCCTCCCCGAGAGGAGCATGTCGGGAACAACTGCTGCGGTCCCGGCGGCCGCCCGCCCGCCCGTCCGTCCGCGGAGGCGCCCTCCCCGCTGCCTCCGGCCCCACCGGACGCGGCGGCGCCCGCGACCCCAGGGGCCCTGCCTGTCCGCGCGCGCTCGGCGCCCGGGAAGGGGCGTCCGCCGCCCTCTGGGCCGCGGCTTCAGCCTGGGCTACGGGCGCGCGGCCCCGCGGCCTTGAGCCCACCTGGTGGTCCCGCCTCCCACCCACGGGCGAGGGGTGCGGATTACCGAAGCGGCGTCGGTTCCCGAGGTGGGTTCGCTGTGCCCCGTAACCAGTTTTTACAGATGGAAGAAAACAAAGTTGACTCCCGAGGCCTGGTCCCTTCCCACTTTGCTCCTGACGCTCCTCTCCTTCTCCTACATCGTGGGACCTCGTCTGTCGCTCCCAAAGCTCGCGGTTCCCCAGCGGCCCTCTCCTGTGTCCCCCACCCCCGCCTCGAAACTTCCCCAAGTGGCCTCCCTTGTGAAGGCGTTTCCGACACATGCGCGGATCAAGTCCATCACTTCCTCCTTTGTGTCCCCGCTGGTCCTTAAGCTTCACTTAGAGCCCTTCACCGTATGTATCTGAAGCCCACCCACCACCACCACCCCACCCACCGGCTTGTAGTTTTATGAACACAGCCTCTCGAACGTTGTAAGTGCACAAGAAAACTTAGTGGAGAGAACGGGGGCTCCCTTATTCCCCTTTCTGCGCAGTTATGTGGACGGGGAGAAAAGATCTAGTTTAGGTGTAAGTCCCACGTAATTCGTGTTTTAATCTTCAGGTTTTCGCTACCATCATCCCCCACCCCGATGTTTTTCTAGTCACGGACCTTAGGTTTCTTAAGAAAACTTAAGCTACTGCATTTTAAAAGAAGAGTTTGTTAATCAAATTAATTGGGTGAAATATACAGAAGGGTTATTTTTGAGCCTGGGGCTTTCTGGTGCTAATCATATTGTAGTCAAATAAGATGTATGTAATAAGCACCTGCTAGCTTGCTCGAAGTGTAATCCGTTTCGGAAAAACTCAAGATGCCAGATAATTACCAGGCTGTGTTTGATGAGTTCACGATTTTAACTTCGAAAAAGACCCTTACAATGAACTGTTTTGTTTTGTTTTGTTTTAATATAATGGTTTATAAAGTGAACAGTCTGGCTTGAGTCTGAGCACCTTCTTCTAAATCTTTTTTATTCCTATCACCCAAATATCTTTCAAACTCATCCCTAGTATACTCCCACCCGCCCTCCTCTCTCTGCTCTCCACCGGATCTTACTGTGTTACTTTAAAAAAAGAAAGAAAGAAACACAAAACTACTTCTTTGGCTCCAAATTGTATAACAGAATTCAGTCGCCCTACCCTCTGATTCTTATGTGTGTTGTATATTGGATTCTTTAAATATATATATATATATATATATATATATAGTATTTATTTTTCGAGAGAGTTGGGGGGGTGCACAGAGAGAGGGAGATGCAGAATCTGAAGCAGGCTCCAGGCTCAGAGCTGTCAGCACAGAGCCTGAAGCGGAGCTTGAACCCCTGTGAGATCATGACCTGAGCCTCAGTCCCCGACTTAACAGACTGAGCCACCCAGGCGCCCCTAGTACATTGGATTCTTAGAAATACAATGTATTGGCTACGTTCTCTGCCTCCCCCTTCCCTGTGCTACATTGTTTTTGCTTATTTGCACAAATTAGAGGGTAGGTGCTATTTTGATCTCTGCGGTGCAGATGGAGAATGTGAAGCCCAGGCAGGTTAAAGCTGAAGGCCGAGTGCTGAGGCTCCGGAGCCCAGGCTCTGCGTTCCCTGCAGCATCTGTGTCTGAGTCTCCTCGGTCTTCTGCGGTGCCTGAAAGGTGCTTTGCCCAGAGCAGACACGGAGCCGCTAGCTGTTGACAGGGCTGCGGGCTTGCTTGGGTAATATGAAGCCTCCGTTTCTGCCAGCTCAGAGTCAGGCTGCCCTCAGGAAAACACTGTTAAAGCCTTTGCCATGTCTCAGACTCCCAGCAGCCTTTCAACATGGCTTCAGCCTCATCCTTCATTAATATTTACCCGGTGCCAATTGCAGTTCAGAACTGGAGAGCAGGAGCTCTTCAGGACATCCGATGCGGCCTCTGCCAGTCTTTAAAGTCAGTGCCACCGACACAATCCAATTAGTGGCTCTCGGTTCCGATAGGAAAATGGTGATCCGGAGAACCAGCTTTCGGGATGTAGACCAGCCACCAATGCTGGGAGCCAAATGCCATAAATACGTGGGTGTTTAATACCAAACATGGATTTAACCAAGATTTATCTGCTGCCTCCTTTGCGGCAGGAACTCTGCCAAGCCCTGCGGATGCAAAAGTGAATGAGGCTACATCCCAGGGGTAAAAGGAACTCAAAGGCTCTTCCCTGGACGGTTTATCAAAGAGGAAAGCCGGGTGTCTGGGGAGCTTCATTTCCTCGGTTCTTCCCCTAAGACTCCAGGACAATGCCAATTGTAAGTCCCAAAATCAACCTGCTAACATTGCTACAGAGTGCAGGTTACAGACACTATCCCTGGATGCCCTGGAATGGAGGGGTAAGGAAGGGATTTGAACATTAGCAGGAATCCTTTCCTGGGAGGATGAATTTTGAATTTTGTCTCAGTGGGAGCCAAAATCGACAAACTCTGATACGTAAAATTTACCTACCTAAGCTGTAAATAAAAGAGGGGCAAAAATGTGTTTGGGCAGGTCCGGCTCTGCAGGATTGGCAAGTTGCAGGCTGATACTATGTTTTAGGCCCCGTGAGTGGCAGGCCAGTGAGGCAATCACCCAGCTTTGCCACACCTTTCAAACAAGTCTCTAATTGGACCCACTGGCTTTCAGGCCAGATCATGTCCCAGCGTGTCTATCTCAAAACAAGCTGGTTGGGTCATTTGTCTTCCTCAAGCTCACCTGTGAATTGAAAGTACAACTTTGAATGCTTGTGGGTTGGTCAATCGATAGCTACTTCCAGTTAGGAGAAGCGAGTTCTTGGAACTTGCCCAAAAAGCAAAGCAGAACACCTGTCTGATGGCTTGATGTGCCTTAGGGCCCTAATCTTGTTGCCCAGCTGGTATCAAAACACACAGCCCTCCGCACACCGTGACTGTGTTTTCTGGGGAAGCATCTGCCTCACGTTCCCCGGTTGCTCACGCATTCCCAAGCTGTTGCAAATCAGTTCTCAGTCATTGTGGCCATTTCAGCCTAATTACTAAATGGGGTACAGGAAGTCAATGTTAAACTCCCACACTTCCTGTGACTGTGATCCAAGGCGTTCTCAACCTCCAGGACCTGTAAAGGACTCTGATGCATGGACCCGCACCCCAGAATCTGAATCTTTGAGGATGGCTGGTAGGGTGTTCCAGCGGAGCTGAAGGGTGCCAGAATGTGCCACTCCCAGATTTGCCACCGTGGCATAAGGATTATTTTGAAGTAAAGGCACTTGAAAAGCAGCAGGTGCAAGAAGGCCACTCTGACCTCTCTTCCCTTTGTCTTCCTGAAAACAAGAAAATTCCCATGTCCTCCAACATCAGGAGGAAAGAAACATTCTCATCACCAGAGATGGGAGTGGAGGCCGGGGGAATTCTCTACCAACAGACCGTGTCAAAATAACTTACCTTCCTTTACCTTCCCTATGTATTTTAGTTACTCTTCCAAAATTGTATCTGTTGTTCAGCCTAATGTAAAGGCATTTATGCTTTGCCACTTCTTTGGGTCTTTATTTCCCTATCACCTAAAATGTATATGAAATAAATCTGTGTCTTTTTCTCCTATGAAAGCTGCCTGTCGATTTTAATTCTCAGGCCAGAGACCCTGAGAGGGTAGAGCTAAGGTTTTGCCTCCCCTACACAGCTGATTCCAATGTCTCACTCTGGTTGAGAACTGCTCTGTGTTTTTCTTTATTTTATTTTTTAAATGTTTATTTGTTTTTGACAGAAAAAGAGACAGAGCACAAGCAGGGGAGGGGCAGAGAGAGAGGGAGACACAGAATGTGAAGCAGGCTCCAGGCTCTGAGCTGTCAGCACAGAGCCTGATGTGGGGCTCAAACCCACAGACCGTGAGATCATGACCTGAGCCGAAGTCGGAAGCCCAACCAACTGAGCCACTCAGGTGTCCCCACTCTGTGTTTTTCTAAAAGCAGTTCCCCTGACGGGAGGGAGGTGGTTTGTGTGTGCGAAGGGGACCTCCTTTGTCCTTTGTATCCTCAAAGGCAGTGATTATACCAAACAGCCACAAAAAAAAAAAAAAAAATGAACACCCAGAGTTATTTGGGTCAGCTTTTTAAAGTGTTCATCACACAGGTGGACTCCCAGAGTCTACCATCAGTTTCCTTGCTAGTCTCTTGGTCCAAACTGTCCATTACGTGGCCTACTGTGAGGTCTGAGCTGCCAGTCCTTCAGGCCAGAAGCTGTATGAACAGAAAGATGGGCAGCAACCTTGGGAAGAACAACCCAAACAGGCTCAGACTGGCGACTGGATTGATAATAAGAGGAAATCTGGGACACCCAATACTCACTGGGAAAAAAAAAAAAAAAACTGGGATAGGGAGCCATCTAATTCTATGTAAGACCATGGCTATCCCTGTCTCCCAATTATTCACACCTATGGCCTAAAGAAAAGACACACTATAAAAAAATAAAAGGAAAAAGAAAAGAAAAGACACACCGTCATTAGGTGTCTTGGAAGGCTCTAAAGAGAATCCAGTGAGATAGCGCACCATTCAAGCTCCTGCCATGTTTGCTCAGCTCGACGGTCTCTGAATTCCTGTGGACGTTTTTCTCTTCCCATTTTCTACTTTGTGTTGCTTTGTATTACAGCACC